TTCTTTGTCTTACCCTCCCCAAGAATTGACCAAATTGTTGGCTTTTATACCTTGGCTAATGAAGGAGGCGGATTGGGCCCGGAAATCAGTTGGGCTGGGCCAAGCTGATTGGGCCGTTGACTGACCTTGACATGGCTTTGAGGATGTTGATTTTTGACTTTAGCATATTTGGAGAGTTGAACCTTTGCCTTGGGCTTTTAATTGGATCATTCAGTGACCAGGCCCAATTGGACTAAATTGGACCCAAACACTAGCAATAGTAACGCCAATACTAGAGCCCAAAATGCTGGTTTCAACAAACTCTTTTCCATGCCTTATTGTAATCTTTAATCTTGGTTTTTTTGTCGAAGTTTTTTGTTAGCTTAAGTAACATAATTGTGACTAATAGTGGATGGTATTTATATATATGCTTTATTAAGTGTTATGGAGTGTAAATTTGTAATTTTTCTCTAAAATTATTACAATGTAGGTGAAATTTTGGGGCTTAAGAGTAAACTTAGGAATTATTAAGAACACTGAAATAGGTGAAAATGTGGTGCTCTTGTGAGTGAATTGCGGAAATCTTACAGTTATATATATGTTACTTTTTTTTTTTTTTTTTTTTTTTTTTGACAAGTATATGTTACTTGAAAAAGTCAGAGTGTTGTTTCTTTCTTCTTGGGAATTCAATTTTTTTCTTATTTTCCTTTTTACTTTCAATGTCATTCCATCATGTGTTTACTTTGATCTCATTTATATTGACATATATAAACAACAAATATTATTAAATTAATCTTAATGTGATATGAAACCTCTTTTGAGCCTAAATCATATAATTATCCCTTATGCTAAATAAAAATCACCACGCATAACACTAAAAGTTGTATCGTCCAAAGCAAACACCCGAAGTAATGTCCAAGTCAGACACTAAAATATCATTACAATATGTTTCCATATACATCTTATGGTACTCCCTTAGTTTTTTTTAATGTTAGTCTCATTTACGTATATCGATATAAATCTTTGATCACAAATATTTTTAATCTCACACTAGTAAAAATTATAAAAATTAGATATTAATAATGTACTCATCGAGACAAATAAAACTAGATCTCATATGATTATATTTGTTGTTATATATAGAGAAAAATATAGAAGATTTCCTCTAATTTTTTATAGTCAAAAGATTCTAAATGGGACTAACAATATGATACGGAAGGAGTATAATATAGGAAAAATAATGAATGATATTCCATTTTTACATATAGTGATATTCTAAGCCCCAATATATGTCTAATTTGTTGATCAATTGGCAAAATTGTAAATAAATCAACAATTTTGTTCAATCACCATGACATTTAATTTTTGTAAATAAATTAACAATTGTGGGATCATATCTAACAAAAAGTTGTTGATTTATTTACATTTTTGCATTTGATAAACAAATTTATAAACTTGTATTTTCTCATAATTAAAAAAATTTGGCGTGTTTAGCTATCAGCTATGATGTCATGTTCTTACTAATTAATGAGAAGCTAGTGTGATTATTGATAATTACTTATTAGCCTCAAATAAAAAGTACTGTTTTCTTTCTCTCCTCCTTACTACCATAACTTATTAAGATTTTTTAAAAAAACATATTAATGCGATTTAATTTGTTAAACTACTTATAGTTATAAGTTGTAAAAAAAATCAGGTGCTGGGTGTTGCATTAAAAAAACTGACTTTGTAAGAAAATGTTACATTTAAATTATGGATATTAGGATAGTTCTGCAATGGCTATAATAAAAATATAGCTCCTATAATATTTTAATATAAACCGTTTATTTTAGATATCTAATTTTAGCCATCGTTTAAATGGACTTGGATTTATATTTATATATCTTTAAAGATTAATGTAAACAATGCAGTCCAATCCCCAAATTTTGATTGTTGGTTGGCTCGTCGATCATGATTTATCAGCTTTATTGTTTGGCATTGCTGTGGTTTTCTGTATTTTGGTTTTTTGTTTTCAAAATCATATGATATATATCATATAATGAATAAAAAATTAGTCAAACTAATTAAAATCATGATAATTTTGAAAACTAAACTGACAACAGAAAAGTGGAAACACCTTTTTCTTGTTTCTTGTTTTTGGTTTTTTGTTAAAAAAAACGATGCCAAAAAAATTTTGAAAATCATTTGTTATATTTTATTTTTGAATTAAAAAATTATGTCGCCACCTAGATAAAAGTAACGAATTAGATTTGATATATCTAAATTTTTAATGCCACGTAGATTATAATCCACAAATTAATTTTTTTTAATGAAAAAAAAGTAAAAATAAAGGAAAAGATCAATACTACGAGTATAAGAAATCCAAAAAAAAAATATACTAAGAAATATTTAAATAATAAACTATTATAATAAAGTTTGATACCTATCATTATAAGATAAATTTTGATAGTATTTATGATAAGAAATACAAATGTTCGTTAATTATAATTAAATTAAAATTTGTGATACCTACTATTATAAATTGACACATCATATGACACAAATAAAATTTCGTATCAATAAAAAACCCCATCAAGCGAATTTTGTGTTAATTTTTGGTCATCAATGGCCGGGTAATTTTTAGCTTAATTTTTAAAATCCTATGTTTAAATTAATATTTTTAATTATTCCTTACATTGTATTAAATTGGGATACTCAACGATTATATGTTTATGTTTTATTTACTAAATATTTTTTTACATGCAAATCTAACACATCATACGACACAAATAAAATTCCGTATCAATACAAAGCCCCATCCAGCGAATTTTGTGTTAGTTTTAGGTCATCAATGTCCGGGTAATTTTTAAAATCTTATGTTTAAATTTATATTTGTAATTATAAGTTATATTGTATTTATTTAGGATACTTAACGATTATTTGTTTATGTAATGGCATACGATTAGATGTTGTATACTTAATATATGGATGACTTTGGTTATTTTTGGAGATGATGAAAAAATTCCAATGCATAGATTTGATTTTATATCGCAACAATTTTTTATTTATTGGTAAATATATTGATTTATTTTATATAAATGTAAAGATTTAATTTATATCAATTTCAGTTTGGCTAACATTTCACGGTTCAATTTATCCATTGATGTAGTAGGTTAGTTGTGGACGAGGTTGGTGATTCTATCGAAATAAAATATATGGTAAAACAATGAATAATGATTTAGGATTTAAATTATTAAAAATTTATCATTTCACATTAAAGATTTTATATAACGAAAAAAATATCATATTTACAATTTATTTATATTTAATAAATTCATTATAACTTATATTAAAAAAAAATATTAAACTTTTGTAATTTTGTCTGAAATCATTAAATACAATAAATCAAATAATTAAAAATCTCAGATGAAAAAACCGTGCATCGCACGGGGTTCCATCTAGTTATATACTAAAGGCGAAACTTGGAATGACACTTGTCATTTCATGGTTAAAAATTTTCTCAATTGCTAAACATCGCCCGCGAATCTCCACATAAAGCCCACAAAATTAGAGTGAATTGTCACTTTTGCCCTCAAAGTAAAAAACACAATTTCTTCTCTCAATTCTCTACTTCCACTTTCTCTCTCTAAAAAACTTTCCGAGCGATGTCGAGGCGGCCCGGCAAGGAAGTGGCGGCACAGGCGGCGGGTGGACAGCGGTTTTCCGGCGAGAAGGTATTTTTTATTAATTTTGTGTTTAAAAATTAAAAAAAAAAAGGTCGGAGGCGGTGGCGGCGCCTAGGCCAGACGCCACCACCACGGCGGCGGCGTCTAGCCCAGACGCCACTACCACGGCGGCGGCGCCTAGGCCAGACGCCGTGACGGTGGCGGTGGCGTCTGGCCCAGGCGCCAGAACCACGGCACCGGCGTCTGGCCTAGGCGCCGCCGCCGTGGTAGTGGCGTCTGGGCTAGACGCCGCCGCCACCGTCACGGCGTCTGGCCTAGGCGCCGCCGCCTTTTTATTTTTTTTTTTAATTTTTTTTTGGTTTTAAATTTGAAATTTAATTTTCGAAAATAATTATTTTTTTTTTGATTTTTTTTTAAATTTGTTTTTCTTTTTTTTAATTTTAAATTTTATGTTTCTGATTTTTTTTTTATTTTGTTTTAAATTTTGTTGGTTTTTTTTAAAAAAATTTTATGTTCCTCTTTTTTTTTTTTTTAATTTTTAATTTTATGTTCTTGTTTATTGTTCTTGTTTTTTTTTTTTTTGAATTAGTTTTTTTACTTAAAAAAAATTTTATGTTCCCTTTTTTTTGTTATAAATTTTTTTTAAAATTTTGATGTTCTTCTTTTTTTAAGTTTTTATAATTTTATATTTTTCACTTTGTTTTTTCCAATTTGTTTTTTTTGGGTAATTTTTTTTTTTGCTTTGTTTTTTCCAATTTTTTATTTATTTATTTATTAGGTTATTAATTTTTTTATTTTTAGGTTGTTAATATTTTGTAATGTTTTTAATTTATTTTCCATCATATGTATATTGTTTTATTTATTTATTTTAATTACTTTTTTTATGTTTATATTACATGTTTATATTGCATATTACATGTTTTGTTATTTTGTGTTAGGCATCGTATTTTCGTTCTGGGGCTGGGAAGAGTATGGACATTATGAGAAGTACGATGAACTCAATGGAGAGCTCGGGGCCCAGACACGTTAGATCCCGTGGTATTTCGGCCTCGGCTCGTAGAGAACGGGTGCACTATTCTGAGGATGATGAAGATGATGATGGTGATGAGGAGGAGGAGGAGGAGGATGCAGATGAGGATGTGGACGATCAGAGTGGACCATATGATGATTACGGTCCATTCAGTCAGAGGCTTGATGATGTGTATGAGACACGTAGGGTAGACGTGCGTAAGGGTAGAGATGGTAGATTTGTTAGTAGATCTGGCACATCATCTGCGTCCACTGTGTCTGCGGTTAGCAGAAAACGGTCGAGGGCCGTTAATGATTCTTGGGTGGTGAGGGGCGAGGTGGCTGGGGGACCTATAGACGGGAGTGTGATTCCTAGCTTTCTAGGACACATCGCTACCCGTATTTGGGAGGACCAAGAGCGGGCTTTGGATAGCGGCATTTTGAAATGCCAAACCCGGGAGAGGACTTGTAACTTCTTGTGTAGTTGGGCTGAGGCTTGGCCGGAGGAGAGCGAGATGGTCGGCCGATTGAGGGCCACTAGAGTGAGCCACCTTCCTGCCACCATGCATGAGAGGATTGACTCGACGCTGATCACGGCTTTCGTTGAGCGATGGCAGCCGGACACGAACTCTTTCCACCTTCCGTTCGGTGAGATGACGATCATGTTGCATGACGTCGAGGCCATCCTTGGGATTCCCGTAGAGGGAAACCGAGCATCTGTTGTCACAGATGCGGATCAGGCAGATTTATTGGCGGAGCTGTTGGCGGTGGATAGGGCTGCGCTGTACACAGCGGCACTTGGTGTGTGGGATCACGGCGGTGTTAAGATCGCAGCAGTTTTGCAGCGATGTTTGCACCCCACTTCACGTAGGACGCAGGACACACAGCTGGCTGCATATGTTTTTCTTCTTCTCGGGTGTACCTTGTTTCCGGATAAGAGCGGAAACAAGCTCAGGCCACGCGACATAGTTGACGCGTGTGAGCCCGACAGAGTAGGCCAGTTTTCTTGGGGGTCGGCTACATTAGCGTACATGTATCGCCAGTTAGGATTCTCGAGCCGGGCTGATGCGGCAGGTATCACTGGATGTATGACGTTGTTACAGACGTGGATATACGAGTATTTCCCGGCGTTTCGACCACACCGCGACCCGGTTCCTATTGGGGATGGCCAGCCACGTGCCTGTGCGTGGAGTCCGCGTGTCGAGAAGAAGTCCATTGACCGCCTGCGATCGATACGGTTATTGCTTGACAGGATGTCCCCATTAGAGGTAAAGTGTTTAAATTATTTCTACTTTTATAGTTTGATGTGTTTATTGTATGAATCTTACTAATTTTAAAAAATGTGCAGGTGAACTGGATGCCTTTCGGCCAGAACCCTAGTAATAGGGTACCCAGGACCCTCTACACGGGACTGATTCAGTATCGTGAGATCGTAGAGGCGTACATGCCGCAGCGCTGTCTTCGCCAGCTTGGATATGTCCAAGTTGTTCCTCCTCCACCAGCATGGCCCAGTAAGGCCGTCCGATCTGCGTCGTTGAAGGAGTACGTCGTCCAATGGCCGGCAAGCATGATTGGCACGTGGGAGCAGTTTCCGATGGTTGCCCGCATATGGATTGAGCAGTTGCAGCGGCCGCCAACTGGGGTGGCTGCCATGTGTGACCAGCACTACATGGAGTGGTACAACCGGCACTCGCACCCGAGGTTGATCAGAGACGTCCACCACGGCGACGACGCCGATGATGATGATGTGCCACCGCCCACTGCCGTGGATGCGGTACGTCTCATAAAACATTTGTAGTTGTGTTTTTTTTCATATAATACGTCTCATAATACGTCGTTATTGAATTTTATGTGTTTTGTTATGTGTAGTGGATGGGAAAGATGACGCAGTTGGGACACAGACTTTTTGAGGAGAGGGACAACATGACGACTGCAACAGGCAGAGCTGTTATTGATGAACTGGAACGGGCCCTTGAGCAGTGGCAGTGGGCGTCACAGAGAGATTATTGATATGTCGGCAGTGCATTTATAAAACATTTTCCTAGTTGTTTGTAAAAGTTAACATTATCTGTTCTTATAATTATTATTTTAAGTTCTTAGAATTTGACATTATATTTTTAGTTTTTATAACTTTTATTTTAAGTTGTAATTAGTGGGCATACGAAAACTAAATACAGGTTCACATTTAAATGGGAAAACTAAATACGAAAATTAGAATCCGAAAATTAAATAAATGGGAAAAACATAGCAATAGCAATATTAGGTCACATAGAAAAGGCCACTAGATTGTTCCACTGCTGCTGTATAGGGTTCCTTCCCTCTGACCGTTCAAACCTCAATTTATGTCTGACGTTGTAGATGTGTCTTCGGTTTGGCTGGTCTTCAGGAAATTTCTCCAACGCAGATGCTAATATTTTAGCAGGCTTCACTTGAGCATCACTCATTTCTTTTACAATTAGTTTCGCAGCAGGACTTAGGCCACTTAACTGTCGATGACCCACTTCATATGCGATCATCTCATGGTTGTGATACCCCCATTTACCGTAACTCTTCACTTCCCAACCGTCACCCCTTTGCTGTTGTCGAACCTTTACTCTGAACTGACACCCACAACCTTTCCGCTTTGTATCAAACCGAATCGCTTGACTGAAATCTCGTTCCTCCCTTTTGCGATAACGGTCGCATCTCAAAATGCGATCCATTCTACCATCCCGTTGAGATTTATGAGTTGCTACTACTAAACAAAAACCTGATCTAATTGCAACCTGTTTCGCCCAATCAACCGCTTGTTGAGCATCTTCGAACAGACCATCGTGTACAAAAATCCCACTATAATCATTTCCGTCTCCACCATAATCCTGCAACAATAACATATAAATATAATCACATAAGAGTAGATTAAATTAATACATTTGACACAACATTAGCACAAAAGCAAAAACAATAATAAATTATAAACAACAAACAAAGAAATAAACAAAAAGTATTCAAAAAAAAAAAAAAAAACAAAACACAAAAATAAAAAACATAAACAAAACTTTAGATTAAATAAATAAAAATAAACCAAAAAAATAAAAACAAAAAAAAAACATAAAACGAAAAAAATTGTAAAAAAAAAAATAAAAAATAAATAAATTAAAAACAAAAACAAATTAAAACAATTAAAAACAAAACAAAAAAAAAACCAAAAAAAAAAGAAAAAAATTGTAACACAAAAAAAAAAAAATAAACAAATTTTAAATTAAATTAAAAAAAAAAAAAAAAAAATAGTGGTGGCGCCTAGCCAGGACGCCGCCACCGTGGCGGTGGCGTCTAGCCAGGACGCCGCCACCGTGGCGGTGGCGCCTGGCCAGGACGCCGCCACCGTGGCGGCGGCGTCTTGGCCAGACGCCACGGCCACGGTGGCGGCGTCCTGGCCAGGCGCCAGAGCCACGGTGGCGGCGTCCTGGCTAGGCGCCACCACTACGGTCACGGCGTCCCGGCAGGACGCCAGCCGCCAATTCGTGGTTTTAGATGGCTTCGTACCTCCTTTTCCGGCGTCAACGGCGTCTCTCCGGTGCATCTACCCGACGTTGAGGGCTCTTCGGTTTCACTCGGCGATCCAGTCCTGCTCCACATTTTTTATGAGTGAAAAATTTTATTTTCGGTAAAAATTAAAACAAGGGCAATAATGTCAACATTTTTAAAAAATGTGGGCTTTATGTAGAAAAACGCGGGCGATGTTTAACAAATCCCGGTATTTTTCTCGCCTTTTTTTACTTTCCTTTTTTTTTTTTATTTGTCATTTTTTTATGACATTCATTTTATAACCTACAATAATAGTTATTTCCATTATGACAACATATATAATCCAATTATACTCAATTATTTTTGTACATATATTTTATATACTAGGAAACTTTTAGTTACAAAAATACTAACATATATTAAAAATAAGGTATTGTAATTCGGTTTTTCTAACGTGTGGCCAAGGGCACATTTTAACACAACAAATTCCTCATTGAAAATTTGATTATGATGAATTTTAAAGGTGAATATAATTGCTTGCCTTTTTTAATATAACTATATCACTTATGATTTATTTTGTTAACAAAATTATTGGGCTCAAAATCTCAAATTTGAAAAAGATGGTAACAATGAAAATAATTAGAAAAGATTTGTTTATTTGAAGATAAATAATAATATTAAGGAATATGTTGTGTTAACACATGTCCTTGGCACACGTTAGAAAAACCGAATATAATATTATCAATATCAATTTTTTTTTACCTCCAACTTTTATCATTTGACAATAAAATTAATTTTAATTAAAAAAGAAAAATTATTTTGGTGGCATACTTTGTATAAATCTTAAAATTACATAACGTTTATAAGAAGAAAATCATTTTATTATAGTATACATAATATATATTGGAAAATTAAATCTAATTACTCTAAATATTTATGTAATTTTTTAAAAAAATAAAAATCTCTACTACTCATTAAAATATATTTAAAAAAGTTGATTACGGAATACTAATTATCCTAAATTAAAATAAAATCAATTAAATTTTCATATTATGCCGGTCAAAGTGTGTCAACAATATAAGGATAAATGTATATGAGTTCGTATGGGTACTAACCTAAGCTAATATTTTAATTTTCTTATATAAAACTGCCTTATAGCTTCTAAATTTCTATTACTATATTTATTTTTTATTTTTTATACAACCCAATTCAATAACCTTTACATATTTGGTATTGGTATAAACTAAAATTCAAGTTATTTTGTTACAAATAATTTTTTTGGATAAGTTATTGTTGAATTAACACCATTATTTATAATTTATTTGTTGTAAAATTAAATTTAATTATGACTTGCATAACACGGGACTTAAGCTAGTATATCACTATTATTACATATATTATACTAAGCTAGCCATTGATCTTTCTTCAAAAAAAAAAAAAAAAAAAAAGCTAGCCATTGATCCAAGTAAAATTAATATAAGAGACAAAGACAATAATAATGGAAATAAAACACAAATTAAAGTACCTATTTCAAAAGATTTTAGAAGGTTTCCATCAATAAATCAAGTGAATCCAAGAGTTCCCCCAAACACTTCAATTAGGGCAAAATTTCTACTGCCTATAGCTCGATCCGTTACCCTTAAGAAGTGTTTGGAGGGAACTCTAGGAAACAAGTGATGATAGACGTTTACGAACTCCATTTACTGAACCCTAAATTCATAATTTTGCTATAGAAGCAAGAGCCACCAATTCAATTATTTATAGCAACATTTTATCATGGTAAATTCCAATTTGTTGTTAAAGAGAAAATCATTTACACGAAAGCTAAGTAAAAAGGTCAGATATATGAACCTAGCCATCATAATAGGGTAGGTTAATTTGGGATACAATGCAACAAAGAATAACATGACAGTAATTCGGAATCAGGGTTCACTTGCTAATGAGTGGCTAATATACATGCCACATTTTATAATCTTAGCTTTATGCACGTATAAAATCCTCTTCATATTGCCTTTTTCAAACTTTACTTTGTTCAATGTAGAATGAAAAAGACCTTAGCTTGCATTTACCCTAATTCGTCGAAAGCTTAATAATTAGATAGTACTTCGTACATTATATCTCTTTTGTTAGAAGGCGACAATTATTGGTCAATGACATTAAAGGGTGACAATATGATGAGTTAAGGTAGAGTTTAAGCATGCTCGGTTCATCTTATGAGTCATGACTAAGTTATACTTAACTAGTCGAGGTCTATCGATTATGGACTAACTAGCGTGTATTGATCTAGTATTGTTGTTCTTGTACATGTTTGAGTACTTGTAGACTTGTAGTGATGAATAGCAAATACATATATTTTTTTTTTTTTTTTTACCTAAGCTTAATGCAATATTACATTAATTAAAACTGTTCACAGAAGTTCTACAAGTTAGCACAACATAGTAGGAAAAATCATATCAAAACCCTTGCACACTGATACTACATACCAACACAAACTTTACTAGCTAGGTCTTACAAAATGTAAACGCGTAACATTAAAAGCCAACTCTCTCCTTAATGACCCTTGATCATTGGAAACAACTTTTAACGCAACAATAATGGAATAAATTTAGTGTGCCAAAGTATGCAAAACATATGCATTCCATAATTCCTACCAATTGGGCTTTTGCTTAGGCAACAGACACAGGGATGATCCCCCGAAAAGCTGCGGAACTTGAGAGGCAAAGATACGAAATGGTAGTAACATCACGAGTTGGTTGTAATGGCCTTGTAATTTGATCACAAACAATGCAACTTCAGTCAAAAAAAAAAAAAAAAGTCACTAAATGTGACTCGGTACCTTCTTCAAAGGGTTCTCGATTCTATCCAGAGAATTGAAGAAAATTTAACTTGGTGAAATGCTATGAACCTTCAAAGTTTGGTGACAATTCGAAGTTTTTGTTGAAATTTATAAACCAAAACTCATTACAGTATGACTTTACACATTATGGTTGTAATATACTTGTATATCATTGTTGTGTTGGTTTTATTGAGTCGAGTTTAAATTGATTTAATTTTATTTCCACACATATTGCCACATAATTTATTAATGAAAAGCTTTTAAAAACAAAAAAATATTAAATGAAATCAAACTTGGTATGTACAAGCTAACTAACTAATAAAGCCTACTTAAGTGAAGTTTTTCGGAGTCAAATTCCATTCACGTGTAGAATGACTTGTACGTAATATTAAACAAATTTTAACATGACATATTGACTTACAAATATCCCGTGCCATGCACGGTAATTTTCAATAACCATTATTAAACTACGATTATAATTAGCTTTTTTTATAAACATTCTAAATATATAGTTGACAAATTTTGATGATAATAAAGGACTACAAAAGATATGTTAGATATAAAATGATGTAGAACGATTAAAATTATGTTAATAATTTTTTTATAGCTATATAAATATTTGTGTTAAACATATGTCAATTTTTTTTATTTTAATTATATTGTGCAAGATTAGGGAATTATTTTTGTATAAGATTTGTTTCTTTAATTGAATTTCATTCAGCAAAAAAAAAAAAAAAAAAAAAAAAAAAAACAAAACAAACTAAGGACACACCAGAAGATGACACGTGTCATTACTGGTGTGTCTTTTAGTATATTGTTATTGATGTACATATTAAAATTAGTACATTATGTCACAAATCAATTTGTTGCAATT